AAATTCGTCGCAGAGAGCAGCTCCCTTTTGGGTGGAACATTGTTCTATAAACTAATTACACGGCACCTATACGACTGTCCCCAAGGGCAACCACGTAGCCGTTTTTGAGACAAGGATAACTCTATCACTAACCAAACCAGTGGTAGCAGTTGACATCTGAGTCAGATGACCGCCTGTATTACTTGGGATAAATGCAGGGGGTACCTATTGAGTTAATAGCCAACAAACATTGGCGAATCAAGGGGTCTAGCCGGCCTACGCCGCCTGGTACCTCTACTACTCAATCTAGATTGTGACGAAGACTAAGTAACTCCTATGTTAACTTAATAGTCACTCAAACTTAGTATGGAGCCTAAAAGGTATGAGTCGTCCGCCTGTTTTTAATAAACAAGGGCTCTCAACCACTACTCTTACTAGGTTAACAAATTACGAGTTAAAAACCAACATTGGCAATAAAGGGAAACAACCGGTACCCGCCGCTTGTTATCCTACTTAATTCCTTGGCGACTAGGTAATATTCTTTTACTTAGTCAGACCGATTGAATAAATAGTTCGAATACCGATTGAATAAATGGCCGACTGATCGTCTATCCTAGAAACAGACAACCAGTCGTCCAGGGGCATAGGCGGCGTACTTACTATTTGTACCTGTCTGCAACGTTCGGCCATGTACAACAGTCGGTCTAGTGAACAATGGGATATTAGATATGGAATACTTAGACAAATTTGAATCAAAACAAAAATTTGATTAAAAATAAGCCGGTCATTAAAGACCAGCAAAATATTCAAAACCCCGGCCCCCTGGCCGGGTAAATACAAAGCAAACGGCACGCAGGCCGTGGAAAAAATACTTTAAGCTTAAGAAGGGGGCAGTTCAGTATTAGCAGCTGCCGCCTGGTCAGCACTCTTCTTGCTAGACTCGGCTTCAGCTGCATCCTCTTTTGATGCCTTACCCCCAAGTGGCACAAGCGCCACAACCGGCACTTCCTCCTCCTCCAACGCATCTCCCAACGCCTCTTCTTCAGCAGCCGCCAGGATCTCTTGATTATATGTTTCCGAACACTGGCGGTACGTTCTTTCCCATGAGGCAAAGTCGACATTGGGGAACAGGCGGCCCCAGGTCATGCGCTGGATTTGAGCGGAGTCTTCCACCATCTCCCGGACGAGCTCTTTCTTCTCTTGCTCGGCCTTTTCCGAGAGCTCTTGGGTAAGACTCTTCTCTTGGCTCACCAGGCGTTCTTTTACGTTGGCCAAAGATTTCTCCATGGCTTCGTAAGAGTGCATTTTTTGGCGAAGAGGTTTCAGCTCGGCCTTAAGATTTGTGACGGTCGCCTCCAGCTCGTCATTCTTCTTCTGGGCCGCCTCTAACTGAGCCCGAACAGCGGCGGTAGCCTGCGCCTGATAATAAAGAAGGTCAATGGTCAGTACTTCATTTTGGGCAATTTGAAACATTGCCTTATCACAGTTGGAGGCGGCCATAGCTTTTGCGGCCTTTACCTCTTTGTTTTTCCGATCAATCGGCTTGCGAAGGCTGTGAACTCGGAGCAGGGCCTAAGTACAAAAAAAAAAACAGGCGTCAGTTTCCAAACAAAAAAGATAACAGGCGTCCTGGAACTCAAATACTCAAAAATATGCTAAGTATACCTCAGAAAGGACCCCTGAAATCCCATCAAGGTCAAGGGTGCCGGCACCCCTGACCGCCTCCCTTTCAGATGGAGGAACTACTTTGATCATGGACTTGGCTACCTCAACCAAGTCAAGCCCCTGAGGGCCGGCTGCATCAAGCGTAAAAAAAAGCAAGTTAGACCTAGTCAAGAAGGAAGCAAGTGAGTTTTTACAAGTGATTGTCCATACTTCTAGGCGGCCCCGCCGGGGTTTTAGAAGAAGTGGCCGGCTGCTTCTCAGCCGCCACTGTTTTCCTGGAAGACCCAGGAGAGCTTGCAACAGTCGTCCTCCGGGCCTTGGGGTCCGGCTGTTGCGAGGAAGAAGCTCTTGGAGTGCCAGACTGAAAACAAAAAGAGTTAGTATATGCACAAGACAACTCCTAAAAGAGGAAGAGTTTTCGAAGCCTACCAAGGGTGCCCCCTTGTTGGGGGAGTCGGCACAAGACTGTTGCATGAGAGAGGCCCGCAACATGGCCGCCGCAGTCTTGGATGCTGTTATTTTACTCATGGCGTCAGCTGCAAAAAATAAACAGCAAAGTTAGTAAAGATCCCAAGTAAACAAGGCGTGAAAAAAACAGAGTATTTGTCAGGCCGGCTACCTCTAGAGCACCGACTGCTGAGGCCACAGGCGGCCAAAAAGTACTCGTCATAGAGCCACTTGAAGCTCGGGACGCAGTTTAGGGGTACTTGCTCTCGTACCCCTAAAGTAGAGTTCACCCTAGTCTCTACTTTGAAGAGTCCTTTGTCTAGGATCTCTCTTTTAGCCTTTGGGGGAACAGGCGGCATGCTGCGGCCGCCTGCGAGAAGAGGCGGATCCCTGTTCCACTTGTTAAAACGTTGGTTCAGCTCCGTGTCTGAACCCTCAATGATAAGGAAGGTGTTCCGCCAATCCTTCCATTTGTTCGCCTTACCTCTCGTCATGAGGTAACCCCTATGGCTTGTTAATTGATACCAGCCGGTACCTCCCGACTTAGGGGTCCGGGTGAGATAGTTCATGTGGGCGAAAGCCTCAAAGCTTGGCTCCACCCCGTACATTTCGCACCCGGCCACATAGCCGAGTACGTTTACCCAAGAGTTGGGGGCTAACTGCCATAACCCCAAATCATACCCATCTAAAATCCGCTGAACAGCCGAATGTAATGGGAAGCGCAGTCCAGCTTTGATGGCCGCCACATAGCAGCCAAAGCAGCCGTCATCATAGCTGGTACCAGCCGGCCAGACGACAGTGTCTTCTGGATCCGGCACGAACAGTAAAAATTCCGGGCCCATTCTGTGGTTAGCAATAAAGCTCTCCACTTTGTCTTGCATGGTTGCGATCCGGCCCCGGGGTACCATGCAGTAGTAGGGGGCGTTTTCCTCTCTGTAAGAGGCGGACGGCTCCGCCCAATTGTCCCCCTTCTCAACTGCATGAGAAAGTCTCGCCTCTTGTAGGCGGCTATGTCTTTCTTCTGAGCCTGGAGAACTGTGGCCAGAAGAGCTGGACTCGGACTCGTCCTCTGACGAATTCGAAGAGGACGACTCCTCCCCTCTCCTAGAGGGGCCCGCCTCCTCTCCCTTAGAAGGAGCAGGAGGAAAATTAGACATATCAACGGTAAGATGGGAAGGGACCACCTTGGCCCCTCTCTCAGAACTGTCGGCTTGGCAGCCGCCTCGTTTCAATTCTACATCTGGCGCCTGGTCAGATGTTTCACTAATGAGCACCCTTTGGGAGGAGCCGTCTGAGTTTGATATCATAGCAGTCTTTTTTGTTCTGGCCATCACGTTCTGCATAGACACAGATACAGTCGGACTTTGTATAAAGGGCAAAGATGGGTCCAGAAAAGGGCAGGCGGCACTCCTAGTCCTAGATTCAGCCGTCCCCGGTGACCGGCTGATCACTAACTTAGGTCGTGTCGTGTGCTTCTGTGGTGCCATTTCAAAAAATAAAAAGAAAATTAAGAGTAAGAGAACTGAGTTACCTGAACGAGTGACGGTTGATGAAGTTCTGGAAATCCGGTGCAGTCGGCTTGTCAGAACAGGCGGTAGGCAGAAAAGGTCCGAAATGTCAGAGCAAGTTCAGGGGTTCGAATGTTCTCGCAAAGTTCTCAAATGTGAAAATGACCGAAGTCAGCACCTCCTTATATAGGCAAAGTGAGAAGGCGAAGGGTCGCTTCCAAATTCAAAATTTGGGCGGGAAAATCTCTCGGCCGTTTGCAAGGTGACACCTGTAGCAGGCCGTCGCCTGTCACCGTGCGACACCTGTCACAGGCGACACGTGACCAGTCACGTGCCACCTGTGAGGGGCAAATGATTAGGGGATTTTTATCCACCAATCACCGTTTGACAAGTGGACCAACCAGGTTCCGCCACGTGTCCTTCACGAAGGCCAATAGGAGCCTGCCACGTGTCAATCACAGATACGTCCTCTACGGACCAATCGAGGCACGCCACGTGTCCACCCATGCCAAATGGGAAAACCGGCCAACAAGGCCCAATCCTGTCTAGAGGCCCGGTCAGCCCTAGGTTTACCCTAAACCTAGAGAGTGGCACGCTTCTCAAGACTATAAATACTTAATTAATCCTCATTAATTAAGCGATCAAGAATTCAAGAAAAGATCAAGCAATTGAGAAGCAATTAATCTCACCTGAAGAACAGAGAAGAACAGAAACATTACGGAACACTAATAACCGGCTAATCTCGCTAACAAAGCAGATTACCAACATTAAACACTCTCACCTAGAGAGGTCTTATTACTTTAATTTCCGTATTAATTACTCCTTAATCAGGTACTAACTTGACCGTTGGAGGCGGAGCTCTCAGGAGTCTCCGTTATTTTGCAGGTACAGGCGTCCGGTTCCAGTCTCGGAATTGTAACTCTCCCGCAGGACATCAGAAAACCCCGAAACATTTGCGATTGCGATTTCTGAACATATATATAAAGGGAACTAAACATACGAGGGGAGTACGATTGGATCGTTAGGAGTTTAGGACCAGATCGTTGGATCGTATAATTCTACTAAATAGAGAAAATAATGTGGGGACAAAACAAAAACTTTCCCTCTAAATAGCAGGGTTAAAACAAAGTAAGGTCTTACATCTCCTTACCATTATATCCAACAAGTTGGTGGTCTGCTAGTCTATCTTATCATGGGCCTTGGCCCATGGTCTAACAACCAATTCGTAAAAGTAACAATAATAGATGGATGAAGTTTTGATATGACAAGTTAGACCCATTAGTTGGCGGCATATGGGGATGTGACATATATTTTGAACGGAAAATGTACAATAGTGGAATTTTTTTTAGTTCATTACATCTATAAATTACTTTGATTCATTACAATAATCGAATTTTGCAGCTTATAAACCACACATGAGCCTTCTGTATGCTGACTTAACAGACGAAGAGAAGAAGAAAGCAGAAGAGAGAGCTATAGTTTTGGATGAAAGCATCGTGAACTTGAGCTTTACGATAGATCGTCTGGCACTCTACATAACTGATGAAGATAAGACTCTCAAATCATGGAAGAAGGTGTCTGAATTTGAACTCCAAGCCATTTAGGCTTTTGTATAATTTACTACTTGTAATTGTAAACTTCTAAAATCTTTAATTAGCTAGTAATTAATAAGTTTCTGTCATTTGTAGACGCCTTGCATATGTTTGCGATTGTGATTTGTAAACATTTGCTTCCAATAATAAAATCGGCTTCTTAGACCTATATGAAGTTACGTACTACTTAACTTAGGTTTATTTTTAATAAGGTAAATAATTTAGATGATAGGTCTTATTGAAACGAACTTTACACTAGTGAACTCAATTCAAATTTATATGCCAAACGGCCCAAACCCTTAAGAGAGGAAAAAGTCTTTATTATTATTTCAATCTTAAGGTATATAAATTAAAGGAGGTTGGATCATAAACACCGTACAACAATGTTGCTTCTAAATCCCCAATTCAAGCCATGCATGTTGCCCCAAAATCTTGATGTTTGGGTCATTATATTCGTATAGTAGGGGCATACTCTTCAAAGACATATTCTAACAAGTGCATTATATATTTATTAATCACAAAAATGATCTGATAATATCAAAATTAAGCAATCAGTACTAGTGTCATAAAATAGAATTATACAGTATATAGCACACAGAAATGATGGAAAGAGTGAAAGGATGAACTTGAAGTTATACGCTATGAAAGTATGAAAACACATTGCATTGTAAATTTGTAATTCCCCAATTTCAATCCTTCCAAATAAAAATGTGCTTTATAAAATGATGATTATCTGGCAATAATATGCTTTTTCCTTGGACAAATGGACAGGTAAGATAATAAGGGATTCCATTGGAATTAAGTGGCCAAAAAGAGTTATTCTACGCTTAATTATGATAATTAGCCGCGTAAAGACAACGCAACGTAACACAAAGTTATATTCCACTCCCACTTGTGACAATAGTAGTCTATCAACTATGTCATCTTCTCACCTACAAAAAGATATTGTAATAAACAGACTTGTATAATCAACTCCCACTCCATTTTTAATTTTTTCATTACTTTGACTTATTTCATTATCCATACTCTTTTGTACTTATTATTTTACTATTGTGAAATGAATACGTGTTATTATATAACATGTTTCGGGTGAAAACAATGGGACCTTGTCGAAGGTCCGATGAAGTGGAGAAGACTAGATTCGATCCAAGTAATGTTGGGCCGAAGGTTTCCTGCATAGTAAACACACGTAAACTAGCCTCGGGGGTGCTGCCGAGGAAGGCCCTTCCGATGCTAAAGTCAGTACAGTGCGTAGAAAGAGTACACTATGCAAGAGAATTAGTTGCTTGAGGCTTTTCTTGAATGAATGTACAAATGTAATATTGATGACTTTTATACCTCTGCATACATGGAGAAGTTGGGCCTTAGCCCAATTGGCTAACCTCGAGGACTGATCTTTGACTTTAGCACAGTTGGAGAGATGAACCTTGACCTTGGGCTTTTAATTGGATCATTTAATGCCTAAGCCCAATTGGACTAAATTGGACCCAAACATAACATATTATTGAAATGCCTAATTTCATAATTTAATTTTTTATAATAAAATATATATCTCGGTAAATATATTCTCACAAGATGATCCAACTCTAATCTGCTACCCTGTAATATCCCTATGTGCGGATATAACGTAAAACGTGAAAGCATGATAGACATACTCCAAAAAATAACATTTGCCAGGCTTATATAAATACAAAACATGACGTATAATTCCTACTTAAAAAAACATATCATTCCTAAGTCCACAAATTCGTTACCATTTTTCTCTTTCAAAAAGATTAACCTCATTCGTATCCGTCAATGTCTCATCATACGATAGATCGGAAGCCATCAGGTGACGAGGAGGGGGCGTACGCGGTGTGGGCGACTCCATCAAAGGATGCAAAGATCAGGCTGAAGAAGTTGATGAGCGGCTTACGATCGAAGTTCGGTGGGCCCAAGTTTGATCCTCATCTTACTGTTGTAGGGCCAATCAGTTTAACGGGGAAAGATGCAACAGAGAAATTTCGGGCAGCTTGCCGGGGGTTGAAAGTTTATCCTGCTCAAGCTCAGGAAATTTCTACCGGTAATTCTTTCTGGCAGTCTGTTTACCTCCGCCTTGACGCCACCCCCGAGGTACAAATACTATTTCATTGGATTATAGAATCTTATTGTATTCTTCTCAATATATATTTTTATAATATGTATAAACTATTACTAAAACAAAACATGTTGATGTCATCAATTCCTAGAATGTCTTACGTGTCAAACTCTCGTTAAAAAATCTCTCTCCAAATTTACATATATGATGTCATCATTTATTTATTTATTTTTATTATTTTTTTCCTTCCCTTTTATTTGCTAAAAATAAGGACTTTGTTAGGTATGAAACTTGGCTTTCTCTCCCATTCTAATATTTAATAAATATAGATATTGATTGCTAATTATATGAGTATTTCATTCCTTTAGCTTCCATTCTAAACGTTTATGCTCAAATAGATAATACAACATTAAATATATTTTGTCTAACCATTATTTTTGCATATTTTCAATAACATAGTAAATATTATGATGTAGTATTAAATAATAACAATTTAAAAATGACTATACACATGTTTTTTTTAATATATAAATAATTAAGTGAGCAAGTTATTTTAAAGAGTTATCAACAAAAGATATAAAAATATGGAAATTATTTATCACGACCATACAACGAGCGGGTACTAATCTAGTATTTTTATAAAATTTGAATGTTTATATATAGACATATAGTAGTCATTCTTAAAATGACTATCACTATACTTAATTTTGAGTGGTATATTTTTCTTTACCAAACTTATTTAAAATGTTTTTTCTTTTTTAAAAATATATTTTTTTTCAAGAATTTAATTTTAAAAAAATTTCAATAATTTAGAAAATTAATTTCTAAAAAAACTGAATTTTCAAAAAGAAAATTCATATTTTTATGAACGATTTTCCTAGAAATTGCTTAATTGTAAATCAATTTCCTATTTATTTGCATCGGTTCAAAAACTTATTCCCACAATATGGTCCGCGTAGGATTGGTAGAAACTTTGTGTTTTTTTTATTTATGTTCAGTAAAGAACCGCTAACGATGATAACGATTCTATACTTATAAAACTGCTAACGTCGTTATCGGTTTCTTGTATTACTTCCTCTGTTCTTTTTTACTTTATCTGTTTCTTTTATCACGCTTGTCAATGCAAAACTTTAACGATCAACAACTTAATTTTCCATAAGTAAAAATTATGAAGTTATACATTATGATAGTACTTATTGAGACGAATTCAAAAAGATCCCACATGAATATGTTTTTCCTTACATATTATTTATTAAAGACGGTCAAAGGAGAGGTGATGAATAGTATAAAAGTCAAAGCGGGACAAGTGAAAAAGAACAAAGGAAGTAGGTTTTAACCTGTGAGGTTTCCTAATACAAGAACCGTTAACGTTGTTAGCGGTTTCATAAGCTATCACCGTTAGCGGTTCTTTGTAAAAAAAAAAGAAAAAAAAAAAGCTTCTACCAATCCTACGTGGACAATATTGTGGGAATAAGTTTTTGAACTTTAGGGAAATCTTTTATATGTTTGACCAACAAAAAATAAATCAAAAATCTGTCAATAGCGGGTACAATTTTCAATAAATATTGTATACCCTTAATGACTAATGTGTAGTGAATGTATTAATTCTTTTATACATGCATGGAAAACTAAGAAAACAAATCTATTAACTATTACTAAAACAGAAAACTGTTGTCCTTATCCTCTCTCCCAAACTGTATATGTGTCGCTTTCTCATAAAAAAATTTCCCGCTAAATGCACTTATGATATCATATATTTTTTTTTTTCTCAGGAATTGGTTATTTTTTTTATAATTAATCATTTTCATTTCAATCTTTTGACTGTGTCAATAAATAAATAGATAAATATTTTTTTTGGGTTGGAATAAATAAATTGATATCGAGCTAAAACTTTTTAGGTAACTACGAAGTTTTTTTTTTAGGTTTTAATGTTATTATTATTTTATTTTTTTAAGGATTCTATGTAGTAAATGTTAGCATTATTTTGTATTTTCAAGGTGCTTCTATTTATTTAAATTAGGATCTTTAAATTACAAGTATTTTTTATTTTGATTTTGAACTCTTAGATATGGAGTATACAAATTGATATGCATATGGTTTGATTAGATCAGATTGGCTTTCATTTTTATATTTTGTTACTCATGTAATTTATGATGATAGCTACATATCTTTTATGATCTAATTTATAAGTATATGCGGGAAAATAAATAATGAAAATAAGCTATTTTATTTCAATAATTTTTGTAATCCGTGCATCACACGGGTCTAATCTAGTGATAAATATAAAAGAAACTTGCGGTATTTAAAAACAAAATAGAGAAAATTTATATTCCAATAACAAAGTGTTTTATGTGCGCTGGTCATACCATATGGTCACTTATAAGAAAAACAAAATAATCCCTATAACAGTGATATCTCTATCACAGTGACAAAATAACTCCTATGATGGTTGGTCATACAGTGTGGTCAGCCACATATGAAAGTTTGTGAATACTTATTTTCTGATAATTATAAATTAAGATTAAAAATTACATAAATGAAATTGAAATTTTATAGATAAAAATGTTGACGATACTATTTTATACAAAAAATAAAGTAAGACTCCATATAAGTTATTATTATGAGAAAACTATGTCAATTATGAACTACATAATTATTATATTTTGTAAAAAAAATATGGTAATTATATTTCAAACGGCTATTATAAAATTTTCAAAATAAAGGGTAGCCTTAATAAGTTCTAATCCTATCTTCGAATAAAAAAATAAATAAATAAAAAATAAAGATTCTCAGCATTTGTTTGTCTAAACTTATATTCTGACTTTTACCGTATATAATTTTGAGTTATTTACTTATCTAAATTTTTGTTATTTGTCACATAATCTCTCATAGGTGCTTGGAATTAGTAGTCATTTCGATGAACACTTTGGCAACACCCGTACAACACGTAAGTTTGAAATGTTGTATTTGAGCTTATTAATTAATCATTTTACATTTTTACATTATTAACCATTTTACATTTCTGTAACTAAAAGATTGAGCCTAATTCACTATTGCTTGCATTTAATTTGTTACTAACAATAAAAAAAATTTGTAGCTTACTTACCACACATGAGCCTTCTATATGGAGACTTGACGGATGAAGAGAAGAATGAAGCCATAGACGAAGCTAAAACCCTAGATGACACCATTGATAGCATGAGCTTCGCGATAGATCGCCTAGAACTGTACATTACTCCTGATGATAAGACTCTCAAGTCCTGGATTAAGGTGGAAGAATATGTGCTTTGTGCACATTAATCTACATTTTTTCCAATCTTATTTGCACTAAATTTGTGGCATACATTATACTTAAGTGTCCATGTATTGTTAAAGTTCATGTTGATGTTTCTGGAAGGAGGACTACTGATGTATGTTGTTAAGCGTACCTTATGCTGTTAGATTGAAGTTTTTCATGTTGCTTTTATTTGGTACTCTTGGTCAGATTTTAGGGAAAATATACTTTAATAATCCCAACTTTGCTCAATTTATTTTAAATAGTCTTAACTTTTGATTATTGCAATAATTCTAACTTTTGCTTGCGTTTTCTTTCTTCAATCCCGTTACCGGTAACCTAGAGAAAAGGTTAAATTTTTTTGTAAAAACATATAATTGACACGTGTTGCCTGTTTATTGGTTACCAAAATTAATAAGTTTTTTTTTTTGGAAGGGAATTAATAAGTTTTTTTTTAAAAAAAAAAAAAAAAAAAAATCAAAGCCCAGCCAGCCATGACCACCGCCGGTGGCCACAGCCTCCCTAGCCCAGCCCTATTTCCTTCCCCGATTCTTGATTTCTGGCGCCCAGCACCAATTTCCGACACCTCCATTGCTTCCCCCACCCCGCAAACCTGCCCCCACCAATTTCCGAAGCCCCAAAACTGTAGTCGTCGGGAGAAATTGGGACCACTTTTGAAGGTGGGAAGGGAGGAGGTCTGTTTCCGGGTTAAGAGAAAGGATGGGGGGTCGGTTTTAGTGGTGTGGGAAAAGGGAGGTGTCGGTTTCAGTGGTGTGGGAAGGGAGGAGGTCCATTTAGGGGGTTGCATTGGGGAGAGGAATGGTACAATGACGGCGTTGTGAAGGGTGATGGCAGTGTCCGAGGTGGGGTTAGGGTTGGGGGGCCGATTTTCGGTGTAAGGGGTGGTACAGCGGCGGAAATCGGTGGCTGGTGGCTGGTTGGTTCTAGGGTAGGCTTGGGAGAAGGCCACCGTTGGTGGCCGATGCAGTGGCTGGTGGTTTGGGCTTTTTAATTTTTTTCCTTTTTATTTTTTTTATTTTTTAGGCCAATCACGTGTTGACACGTGTTAGGTAACTTAGAATAAAGAGTTGTTGACTTTTGTTGACCTGTTTGAGATTTTAGAAAGAAAACGTAGGTGAAAGTTGAAATTATTGCAAAATAATTGAGAATTGGGATTATTTTAAAATAAATTGGGCAAAGTTAAAATTATTAAAGTGTATTTTTCTCAACCTTTATTATATTTGGCAATGTGTCCAAATAAACCCAAATATGAGTAAGACTAGTCATCCCATGCATGAGTTACTGATCTAGGTGATACGTTGAGTCATTCTAGGGCCTCTAGCCACGTTCAAAATTACATAGCATGGTTTTTTATTCATTGTAATGAGTTTTATATATATATATATATATAACCATTGTGAAGGTATATGGCATCGATTAGGGTGTTAGAGTATATGTTGTGTCCCATTCATAGTCGTTTTAAACATTTTGAAGGTCCTGTTTTAACTTAAAAAATAAAAAAAAATAAAAAAAAAATATGAAATTTTAAAAATTTTAGATTATCTCAAAATATAGTCCGATTCCAATTATATTCTGTGAAACACCAAACCAAATTCTCAAACTACATTATCAAAGTTGTGAATAGTCCCAATACAACTTCAAACTAATACTACGTATTAATGTATAATCTTGATGAAATTGAAACACCTAATACTAGAGATATCAATTCGGATAATCGGATGGAGTTTGGGTCGGGTCTATTCAAGTCGGGTCTATTCGAGTCAGGTATGTTCGTGTCGGATATATTTGGTTTAAAATTACCCTTTTAACCCGCTTCGGGTCGGATCAGATTACTTTCGGGTCAGGTTAACTTTGGGTCAAGATCTGTCAAGTCCTGGTCGGGTTTGGGTCAGGCCAACTTCAGATTATTTCATGTTCAGTTCGGGTAAAATTGGATTGGGATCAAAACGGGTTTGATCAGGTCAATCTCGGGTCGGATGACTTTGGATCGAGTTGGTTTCGATTCGATTAATTTTGGTTCCGTAAAGTTTAGTTTGATTACTAAAGTTGATTCAGTATTTGGTCAATTCCAATTCAGATATTTTTAATGTTTGGCTGAATTTTGGTTGGTGACCAAATATAATATTCAGATAAGTACAAAATTAGAGTAATTATTGAGTTTTTATCTTGTTATTAGGTCGATATCAAGTTATTCATGTGTCATTTTTTCATATCGTGTCATTAATATATGTTTAAGTAAAAAAAAGGTAAAAAATAGGTTAGGTTAAAAATTATGGTTAGTTTGAAATCATGTCAAGTCAAATCTGTTAAAATCGGGTCGGGTTATTATCGGTTCAGATAAAAAAAACAGAACGGATTGAATCGGGTTTTTGTTGGGTCAATTTCGATTCGGAATGAGTTCAGGTCGTGTCCAATGACGAATCCAAGAATTCTAAGTAGAGGTAACATTTTAGCCAATGAACAATATAAGAGAAAAAAAGTTAGAAACAAGTAATTATATATATTATTGTTAATTAATTAGCCTTTAAATTTTTAAAATTTATTTTGTTTGATAAATTTTCATTTTACAAATATGGAATAATTTATATACTAGTTATCAATATAATATAATGATTAAATTAAAAAGTACTCCATATGTTCAATAAATTATCTTTCTATGTACTCTGTTGTCTTCGTATATCATAAGTTTAAAAACTACTTTGTATTTGGTAATTTATACTAGTATATACTATAAATTTTCTTAATTGCTTCACTCATCACGTAAAACTAAATACTCCGTAGTAAATAAATTACTTACTAAATATGTGTAAAACAAAGTGCAATAAAATGGAAAGAATTTCATCAAATGAAGAAGTTTTTAAAAATAATAACCTACTCATTCCAAAAAAAAAAAAGAAAAAAAAAAATTGGTATCATGTATGATGAATAAAAAATAATTAAAATATAAGTATTATTTTATTTTATAATTTAAAAATCATAAATTATAGTACTTTATTTTCATAAATTAAATGAAAGACTCGAAACAAAAAAATTTAATACATAATGTGTTTTGCAAACATATAAAGTAGAAGCAAAAGTTATATTAAAAAAAAGAAAAGAAGAGAAAAAGAACAACAATAAGGCTCTTTAGTTAAAAGCTAATAGCAGCGGAAGTTGGTACGGAGTATGATTAATTTGCTATGGCTGAATCAAAGAGACCTGCTATCCATAATAACAGTTCTCTTGGATCAACATTTTTTTTTCCAGGGCCCCTTGTGTTTTTCTAGATCCGCCATTAATTATAGAGTTATGTAGTTTTATCAAAATTACAACCCTTAGCTTGTAGCTCCACAATTGCTATCTAGTAGCTCTAACTAACTATTTAGAAATAGCAAGCAAGGACCTCTTATCAGCGAGTGTGGATGCTCTAATAGAGTAACTAGCTAACGAGCTGAGGATTCTAAATATTATAAGCGTCTTTAATAATTAGGGGTGAGCACGGATCGGATATCCGTATCCGAAAATCCAAATATTTGATATTCGATATCTGATTCGAAAATTTCGGATAATATCCGATATCCGGCTATCCAAAATTCTCGAATCGGATAGTCCAGATATCCAATATCCGACCCTTTTTATTAATTTCTTTTTTTTTGAACAAATATTCGACCCTTTTTATAATATAGTTAAAATTCTAATTATTTGGAAAAATCTATTTATTTTTAAAGGCTAATTGATAGTAATTGAACTTCTAATAGAACACAAAAATGCAAGAGTCATTAGGCTTATTCTGAATTCTTTATAAAGAGACTGCAAAATCAAATTTGTAGTTACCAACTACAATTATACATATTTTTTAATCTATTAATTCCACAAATTACAAAATATGATAATCCCAAAATTCAGAATCTAAAATCAAAGTATAACGCATAAAAAACCCAAATGACAAACCAAATACAAAGTATTATTTTGGCATAAAGAACCTAAAATACTGCAAGGCTTGTGTATAGAACAAATAATCATTTAAACCCATTTTCAATTAAAAAAAAATCAGCAAATATTTTAGGTGTGTCCACTGTTAGGGATGTTAATGGGGCGGGACGGGGCGGATGTTGGCCTTCCCATCCCTATCCCCACCTAAGATTTCATAACCATCCCCATCCTCATCCCCGCGGCGGGTCTAAAATTCATCTCCATCCCCGCCCCACGTCCTATTTGGATATCCACCCCCATCTAATCCCCACTTAAGACCCGCCTAATCCCCGCCTCCTAAATACACAATCCTTTATAATTAATAAAGATTGCAAAAAGAAAAAAATTATTGTTAATATTACACATTTTTTTTTGTTTATAATATAAGTGTATTACAAAGTACAAGTATTATATTTAATATTTTATTTTACATAATTTTTTTTATAAAATAGTATAAAGTATACAATTTTGTTTTTAAAAATTTATGGATATGGAATGAGGCGGTACGAAGTGGGGCGGGGATGGGGTAGGTACAACCTAAAATCCACCCCTCCCCTATCACCCGCCAAACCAAGGTGTTGGGGCCGGGATTGGGTGGGTCTCCTATTTGACCCGCCCCACTGACATCCCTATGACCACTGTCCAGTGATGCGAAGCTTGAGAGTTTGAGTGAGAACGTCCGATAAGTTGCCTAATGGTTGAGAACGGACGGTGAGGTGTTGGTTGTGAGGTGAAGCCGCAGAGGTTGTGAGAACTAACGGAAGTATGAGCAAAGGACGAGATTGTCATATAATGAGAAACCGAAATCAAGTTTCAAATATCAAATAAATTCATCAATTAATAACTAATCGCATAAAACAACATAGATCTAAATATTAAACTAAAATGCAGTTTAAAAATCCTAATTCAACGAACTCAACTCAACATAAACATCATATTTCTCACAAAAACAACATGAAATTAACAAAAAAACCGAAGCAAAAATGATAGATCTAAAAAGAAGAGAGATAACCTGAAAAGAAGGTTACAAAAAAATGAAGCAAAAATGATATGAATTTATGAAGACGCCTTCTTTGAAAACAGGAAAGAGAAAGTAGCGAAGGAGGTTTTAAGAATGAGGGAAGAAAAAGGGCAGAGGTGCCAAGGTGAAGGAGAGAGAAAGAGAAGAAGAGAGAGGAGAAAGAGAGGAAGATAGGCGGATGGGGGTCTGAGGTATTTATATTGGGGGTCTCCAATTTTAGGTTTTGATATGTTTTATAACATGCTACAAATGATACGGTATAATGAGTAATTTCTTCCAATATTGGATCGGATATTCGATATCCGATATCCGACTTTTTTTAGATATCGTATATTTGTAATCCAATATTTAGATATCAGATATTCGATCTGATATTCGTTTATCCAATCCAAAATCATTTTAGGATCGAATATCCATAATTTTAGGATCGAATGCGGACCGGATCATCGATTTTTCGGATTTTTAGATAATTTACTTGATCTTATTAATAATACGTGTTCCTATTAAATTGTATTTTAGATTGTATTAATAAATTTCACTTTTCACTTCAAGAATTCTACTAATATTACTTCCTCCGCGGCTCCGCTCATATGTAGCTCATGTTTTTATTTTTGGGTCTCCCATAAAGTTGTTCTTGTTTAATTTTTCTTTTCCTTATTACATGATTAAGTATCTAAAATACCCTTATTATTTTTGCCTTTATTCTTTACACTACCCAAAATACCCTCAAATTTCTTCTTATTTTTTGCGCCCTCACCAACCTACTTTCATATACTTTTCAAATTTATATGTACTTAACATTTGTGCCCCACTCCTTGTCTTACACAGTATTGTGCTCCCCTTTTCATGTATTTTATCCTCATATATCTTAAATACAGGCCCGACCCTTAGGGGGTCCAATATTGCTTGGGGCCTCAAACGCATACAATATATAAAAAATGTTATAGAAAAATATTAGTATGAGTGTTGTGGCGCAGTGGTAAATGTGCAGATCTTAGTTTAGCAGGTGCATGGTTGTTGACTAATTTTTTCAGTTTTTTTTTCCTTTTTTTCCATTTTTTTTTTTAAGGAATTTCTTTCTCTCTTTTATTTTTTTAAAAAGGATTAAATACCCAACTATTGTTAAATGTGTGCTTTATTTTTCATTTTTGACCTTAAGGTTTAGATACTCCCTCTTTTTTCAAATATGTTCTCTATTTTTCATTTTTGGCCTTTTTTTTAATAAGTGTTTTATTCCTATATTTTGAAAGATTGTAACAATATTTTAATACTTTTATCCCTATGGTCCCTCAACTCAATTCCATTTTTTAAAAACATTTTTTCATTCTCTCTTTTCCCTTTACAATAACCTATAAATAGTTTTATAATTTTTTTTTTTTTTGCTTTTCAACATATTTTGCTTAAATGATAATATAATACATTTATTTCTTTACTCTAAACCTTCGTGAAAATCAAAGCAGAGCACTTACTAGAAAGCGCGAGATTATTATACATTTCATTAGAAAAAATGCCTATTTTTATCTCAACTGCACAGGGCCTCCATAATAGTTGGGACGGCCCTGCTTAAAAATATCATGAAAAATCACAAATGAGAACTATATTATGGCGAGAGGAGTAATAGAGTATAAATAATGTTCCCGGGCTTCAACCATAAGCTCGAGAATGTGTTTTATAATCTCTAAAGGGGGCGTGATAGAGAATAAACTTAGTATCATGTCAAATGATCATCTCAACTAAAAACTTAAGCTGATGGTTAAAAGTTGAAACCAATAAATATGTTTTATACTCTATTAAATACCAAATATTTTGCGGTTGTTGATACTACAGAGGAGTAAATTGTGTATTTTGGTATCATGGTATATAATACCATCTAAATTACAATTTAATATCAAAGAATATAATAGAGTCATCCATGTTTCAATAAATCAAATAGCAAAAGAAAATTAAAAGCAGAAAGAGGCAAACATTAATGGTGTTATCAAAGTAACAGCAAAAGAAAAATAAAAAATTACGGAGTAAAATAAACAGGCAAGCATTAATGGTGTAAGAGCAGCAAAAGAAAAAAAAAAAGAGTCAAGCATTAATGGTACTAATGTTACTCGTTTCCAAGAAAAAAAAATAAAAAATTCTACCTCAATTTCATATTAATGGTTTGTGATTTTTAATTATAGGGAGAAAGATAAAAATGCATATGATGAATAGAAAGATAGAAAAAATGACAACATAAAAAGGAAAAAAAAAAATAAAAAATTTGTTGCACATAAAGTGTAGCATTCATTTTTAGTAAATGTTGCACACAATATGAATCGAAGGTATAGAATAAATTAGGCAAGCATTAATGGTGTTGAGTACGTGTTGATACATGTAGCATACTAGCATGTAATAGACACACATTTTTAATATTGTTTGTTATTTTTTTTATGCTTGCAAGGCTATAAATTTGGAAGATTTGTCTTGCAAATTTGTGTAATTCCCTGTGATGCACAGACACGCCACCTGACAGGAGAGTCCGAGTCGACACGCGTGTCGGACACGGACACGGGTGGGACACGGGGCGACACGTGTCCGACACGCAGAAAATCGTGTCCGTTTTTTTTTTTTTAAATTTTGATACTTGGACACGGACCGTGTCACCCCAAGACACGGCCCGTTTTGTATTGGACACGCGAAATACAATACCCTCACTGACTCATGCTCTGCCTCTCCCAACTTCCCAAGTCTCAAACTCTCAATCCTCTCATTCTCTCACTAACTCATACCCTAAGTACTTTGTAGCTCGTCGTCGTCGCCCGTCAGTCGTCACCGCCGGCCGTCGGTCTCACAACCGCTGTCACATTCAAACGTCTGTCTCTGATCTGCTAGCTGCGTCTCTCACCGAGTCACCGTTCGTTGCTGTTTAGGCTTGTCACCTGCTGCTCGTGCTAGGCTGCTAGCCTTCTCTCACCGTTGTTCGTCCTCAGCCACCGCCCAGATCTCCACCAATCTCCAGCTCACTGTCGTCTGTCGCCTGTCGTCCGTCGCGCGTCAGCCACCAGGTATGGTTCTGAGGTTCTCTACTTTGTTTTTTTTTTTTTAAATTCAATTAATTTTCTAATTTTCGATTGCTCCTTCATGTATACATTCAATTAATTTTCTGAAATTCAATTGCTCCTTCATGTATACATTCAATTAATTTTCTGAAATTCAATTGCTCCTTCATGTATACATTCAATTAATTTTCTGAAATTCAATTGCTCCTTCATGTATACATTCAATTAATTTTCTGAAATTCAATTGCTCCTTCATGTATACATTCAATTAATTTAACTTTAACTTGATTAGAATCAGGAACAAGCGTGCATAATTGATCCTTCATGTATACATCCTGTATACTGTAATGAAAATGAAGAACTGAAAATTTGATTTTTGATACTTTGATGTATATTGTATAGTTGGCTAGTTGCTGGTACTTGCTGGACTTGTTGGACTTGTTTAATTAAACTTTAATGCATTTGATATAAGCATGAAAAACTGAAATTGTATTGTTGTCTTGTTGAAATTCTCAGGAATGTCTTCTAGTTCCTCTGCTTCATGCAATGTCAGTGGTAGTAGTAATTCATCTGAGTCTATGAAAGACCCCTACCCTTTGTGGAAGTTTGTTGTTAAGGGTGATAAAATATCGGGTGGTGGAGGAAATTATAATTGGAAATGTAACTTTTGTGGCGAAGTTAAAAATGGTTCATACACTAGAGTGAAAGCTCATTTGCTAGGTGAACAAGGGAAAGGGATTCAAACTTGTAATAAAGTGAAAATTGATGACCTTGCTAAACTAAGATCGCTTCATCGTGAATCCGAGGATTATAAAAAATCTTTGTTACCAAAAGTTCCACCTTTTTCAAATGAACCCATATCTTCTCACACATCAACTGAAGCTACATCAATGAGACTAGGTTCATTTGATAATGTAAAGAAGAGGAAATCAAAAAATACAATTTCTGATGCTTTTAATGTGAAATCTCGTGACCACTTGGATTCTGAAATTGCTAGAATGTTTTACACAGGGGGGTTGCCTTTTAATCTTGCTAGAAACCCTTACTATGTTAGTTCATATACAATGGCTGCCAATTCTAATCTCTCTGGTTATAAGCCTCCCGGATACAACAAACTTAGAACAACTTTGCTTTGTAAAGAGACAGAAAATGTGGATAGGTTATTACAACCTATGAAAGCCACATGGAAAACAAAAGGTGTTAGCATTGTTAGTGATGGGTGGAGTGATCCACAAAGAAGGCCTTTGATTAACATTATGATTGCTTCTGAAACGGGTCCTATGTTTATGAAAGCTATTGATTGCTCGGGTGAGATTAAGGACAAAGATTTCATTGCTACCTTACTAAGTGAGGTGATTGATGAAATTGGAGATCAAAATGTTGTTCAAATAATCACAGATAATGCAAGTAATTGTAAGGCTGCAGGGGAATTGGTTGAGGGTAGGTATCCTCATATATATTGGACACCATGTGTTGTTCATACACTTAATCTTGCAATGAAAAGCATCTGTGCAGCTAAGAATGTGTTGAATAATGTTGAAGTATATGATGAATGTCATTGGATAACGGAAGTTCATGCAGATGCCTTGTTCATTAAAAATTACATAATGAATCATTCGATGAGGCTTTCAATGTTCAATAAGTTTTCGCCATTAAAACTACTTTGCATTGCCGACACTCGTTTTGCTTCAATTGTGTGCATGCTTAAAAGGTTGAAACTCCTTAAAACATCACTTCAATCAATGGTTATTAGTGAGAATTGGTCCTTATACAAGGATGATCGACGCGGGCAAGCCTCACATGTAAGGGAAAAGATTTTGGATGAAATATGGTGGGAAAAAGTTGATTACATTCTTGATTTTACACGCCCAATCTATGAGATGATTAGGGTTTGTGACACCGACAAATCTTCCTTGCATTTGGTTTATGAAAGATGGGACATTATGGTTCAAAAGGTGAAAGATGCCATCTACAAGAAAGAGGGTAAACTAGATTATGAACAATCTACCTTCTTTAATGTAGTTAAAGGGATTCTTAGTAGTCGTTGGAGTAAGGGTAGTACTCCACTTCATTCATTAGCACATTCTTTGAATCCAAGGTAAGGTTTACTTATTTAATTCATCTTTATTTATTTTTCCTTGTTTTTTATTTAATTTCTTATGGCTATTCTTATTTTGTTGTTAAAGATTTTACACGGAAGAATGGCTTAATGAGGTCCCGGGACGAGTTGCTCCAAATGCCGACAATGAAATTTCCACACAAAGATTACAATGCTTTCGAAGGCTTTTCCAAAGTCCCGATGAAAGATTCAAGATCAACACGGAATTTGCAATATTCTCACAAAAATCAGAGGGGATCTTTCTCAACATTGATTGCATGCATGATATGGCTTTGATGGATGCTAAAAATTGGTGGGCAACTTATGGTTCCCAAGTGCCTATGCTTCAAGGTTTGGCTTATAAGCTATTAGGTCAACCTTCTTCCTCTTCTTGTAGTGAAAGGAATTGGAGCACCTATAAGTTTATTCATTCTTGCACTAGAAATAAGCTTACTCCTAAACGTGCTCAAGACTTGGTATACATTCATAACAACCTTCGATTACTTTCTAGGAGAAGTGAAGAATACACTAAGGGGAGATCTAAGTTGTGGGATGTGGGTGGAGATGAGCATGACAACCTAGGAGAGGTTGGTATTCTAGAGATGGCCGAGCTCTCACTTGATGAACCCGAGATGGAGAATATGATTTTTGATGATGTACTTGGTGATGGTGAAGAATGAAACTATTAGTACTTTTGTTTATTTTATTTATGATTTGTAAAACTATTATTAAGACATGTATTTGGTTTGATGGTTTCTTGATATGTATGAGACTACGTTCGTACACTTTGTTTATTTACTTGTTTTAACAAAATTGTGTGTTTTGAGGCTAATTATTTAGTGTTTTATTGAATAGGTTGTCAAATTCTCGTTTTTTTGATATATTATATGCCTTGTTATATGCCGTACCCGTGTCCCCTATTTCAGGATTGCCGTTTTCCCGTGTCCGTATCGTGTCCGTGTCCGTGTCCGTGTCGGTATCCGTGCAACATAGGTAATTCCATGTCTGTTTGCATAGGGTTACAAATTTCAATGATTCGTCTTGTAAAATTGCCGATCTTGACGATCAAACAAGTTTTATCAAATTCACGACTACACATCAATGGAGTTCCATAAAAACGATGCAAATACATTTAAAATTATATTTTTCAGGATTAGTTCAGAAACGATGCCATTAGTTTAGTGTTGTTTACTTGTATTGAGAATTTAAAAACATTTAAGGGATGATTTAAGTGCCAAATGGCTATTATCATTATATGAAATCACCCGTTCGATCCCTATTCCATTTTTTTTTAAAAAAACAAAAAAGAAAGAAAGAAAGGCGTTGACACAAACTTACAGGCAAAATTGGTTTGTGACTTATGAGTGTTAATCATAGAGAGAAGGATAGAAATGCATGTGATGAATAGAAAGAAATTTTTTTTTTTTTTATTAATATCACGTTTTTATAATTTTGGAGAGGAAATATAGAAAATTTTGGAAAGGAAATATATAAAAAAAAAAAAAAAATCCTAATAAAATCTTTTCCAAAATAATAGTCAAGTAGGATCTTGTTAGATTCTTCTTATGGTATATTTTATTAATATCACGTTTTTTATAATTTTTACCCACGGAGAAATATAGTTGCATTGAAAGACGGGTCTTAGAGACCGTATAAAGTCTAATAGGACTAAAAAAAAAACTGTCAAGAATAATACGACCTTTCAGCGGTCTTCTAAAAATAAAATGAGCTTTTGATTATTCCGTAATAAAACGATCTTTGGCATGCATCTGCTATAAATAGGATAAAAAACCCGTAACCTATCTCACAGGTTAAACTGGACACTTGTCACGTTGTTATTGATCAAGATTTTTTTTATTTTAAAAATTTTCTTTTACTAATAATAATTATGAATTAAATAAAAAAATAACCTTAAATTAAAAAAAATCCCCTCCCCATTCCCGTTTAGTAGCGGTCCCCCTCTCCCTCCCCGACCTCTTTCCTCTGCCCTCCACCAGTGGTCAACGCTTCCCCCACCCTAACTCCAACCCGACCCTTTCTTATATCCAAACCACCCGATCATGCTTTCCCATACCCCGACCCCTTCCTCGACCCTGACTTTGTTTTGAGTGGTTTCAACCATAGTGGAGGGTGGGTTTAATGTTACGGGGCTCGTCCATTGATGGGGTGGGGTATCAGGGCTCTTGGAATTGGAGGGCTAAGGTGAGCTGGTTATATTGTGGAGGGGTAGAAGGTTTCGGGCTCTGTGGAAGGAATGGAGTGGTGGTTTCGATCAAGCTGCTAGGGGCTAGGGTGGGGGTATGTCGGAGTTGTATTGTGGAGGATAGGGTGAAGGCGGGCTGAGGTTTCGTCGGGGCTACTATTAGGGTTTCCGGCGATGGTGGGGGTGATGGCTAGGTGCTTTGTTATTGGCGAGGGATGAAGTAGTGGTGGTTGTGGACGAGAATGGCTAGGTTTGACAGGGTGGGGGCTGTTAAAGGTGTTTTTTAAAAAAATTAAAATCATTTTTTAAAAAGCAAATTTTTTTAAAAAAATAAAATTGACGAATTACAATGCAACACGTGTCAGAATTTACCTACTAAACAGGTTACCAATCAATTACGTCCTATTTTGAGCAAATACATGTCAAAAATCATTTTATTTCAGAAAAATAAAAAGATTATTTTATTTTTGAAAAACCGTTGAAAAGTCGTATTATTCCTGATAATTTTCCAAAAAAATAAAATAAAAACATAAGGAGTATTATAGAGTAATTTTTTCCTCCTTTCAAAAAAAAAAATAGAGTAATTTTTTCCTTCATGCATCCCCATCAATAAATCAAATTAAAAGGAAAAATAGGCAAGCATTAATTGTATCATCAAAGTAAGAGCAAAACATAATTATAAGGAAAAATATGCAAGCATTAATGGTTTTATCAAAGTACGTAAGAGCAAAAGAAGAAGAAAAAATAAACAAACAAACTCAGGCTAAGTATTAATGGTGTTACACACATTATTATTATTATTATAATTATTATTATTATTTTTTTTTTTTTTTTTTACAACGGTTACATAATTAAACGCAAGGAAACAAACTTAGCCCACTACTATTACCCTATGACCATTTCACGAGCTACAGACTCCCTTAGAACGCTATTACAACTACTATTACCCTATGACCATTTCATGACCATTTGCAGGGGCGGAAGACAGTAGGGGGCCAAGGCCCCCCTCAAGTGAATTGCTTTACATTGGTAATATTTGGATTTTAGTACAAGTAAAAGTATAAAAAATTCATGTGGCCCCCGCCAAACAAATAAAAAAAAATTAATACAAAACCAAACTCACACTTTATGTACTAATATTAACGCATGTGATGAGTTTGGTACTTGATATTTCTAGATTCTACTATATTATATTGTTAGATAAGACAAAATATAAATATTGCAACTAAATAAAAATAAAAGATAAAAGAATTATCTAATAAAAAAAATAACAACTTGCAAACATTACAATTCACTTCAACACAAAATTACAAAAGGAAAGCAGTGAAAACCCCCAAAGTGACGAAACAAACAGTACATATCACCATTGAAGTTTCTTGCTTGCTGTTGTTGATTTTCCTTAATTCAGGTAATTTAATTATCAATTTCTACTTAATCTTGTTTGTTTACTTCAATTTTCATATTAATTACAGGTTTAGTGTGTTGAATAAATAGTTAGAGTGAGATTTTGAATTAGAAATTTTGGGGTTTAATACTCTAATTGTATATGTAAATCAGTAAATGTGTAAATCCAAACAATTATATGAAAATTGTGAATAATTAGAATAATTAATACAATTGCAATTATACTTGATATATTGCCCAATAATCATTAGATTTGATTATGCTTTTTTTGTTGTTAATTTTTGTAATTTAGGAATGACAAAGAGGACTATCACTTCTTATTTTCTTCCACAAAAAAAGGGCAGGGGTGATGAAGATATACCTGTTGTTGAGCCAAATCAGCCAATTATCATTGATAATGAAGAAGTCGAACGTAATATTAATAATGACAATGTTGATGAGCAAATGCCTAATGAAGAAGGTATTGGTCTTGATTTTTTAATGCGTGATCCTGGGTTGCGTAAGCAAATTGAGACATATGATTCAGATGAAAAAGATTTGATTAGGAGATCTTACATTGATTTTGGGCCATATCAACCTAAACTTGATAATTATCCATACTCTGGTTCCGAAAAACACCCACGTAGGTTCCAAAAAAGTTGGTTTGTGAAGTTTCCTTGGTTAGAGTATTCTCCCACAATGGATGCTGCTTATTGTTTCTATTGCTTTCTTTTTGCTAAAAAGCCTCTTGGAAGATGTGGTTCGGATACATTCACAGTGAAGGGCTTTAAAAATTGGAAGAAAGTAAATAATGGGAAGGATTGTGCATTTTTGTGTCACATGGGGAAAGATTCCAATTCTGCTCATAACTTTTCAACAAAGTGTTATTTTAATCTCAAAAATCAATCCGCTCACATTGAGAAAGTAGCAGAGAAAGTAACTGCAGAGGAGATTGTCAAGAATCGTTTACGCCTTAAGACATCAATAGATGCTGTTAAATGGTTAACTTTCCAAGCTTGTGCATTTAGAGGGCATGATGAACGTTCTAGTTCAATTAATCAAGGGAACTTCTTGGAGATGCTAAAACTTTTAGCATCATATAATAAAGATGTTGATTCGGTTATTTTGGATAATGCCCCAAAGAATGCCAAATACACTTCTCCACTAATCCAAAAGGAGATTCTACATGTTTATGCAAGAAAAGTGCAAAAGAGTATACGTGAGGAAATTGGTGATGCAAAGTTTTGTTTGATTGTTGATGAGTCTAGGGACATTTCTAAGAAAGAACAAATGGCATTAGTAGTGAGATATGTTGATAGAAGTGGATTGGTAAGAGAGCGATTTTTGGATTTGGTCCATGTCAAAGACACTACATCAAAAACATTAAAAAGGGAAATTTGTGCTGTCTTGTCTCATCATAACCTTAACCTTCAAAATATTAGAGGTCAAGGGTATGACGGTGCAAGTAATATGCGTGGAGAGTGGAATGGGTTACAAGCTTTATTTATGAAGGAGTGTCCTTATGCCTATTACATTCATTGTTTGGCACATCAACTACAACTAGCTCTTGTTGCTGCATCTAGGGAAGTGCCACATATTCATACTTTCTTTCAACAATTGATTTTTTTTGTTAATGTGGTCACTAGCTCTTCAAAGCGACATGACGAGTTACAAGCAACTCAATTGGCTGAAATTGAACATCTAGTTGAGATTGAGGGGCTTGAGACGGGAAAAGGTCTCAATCAAATTGGTACATTACAACGACCAGGTGATACTAGATGGAGCTCGCATTACAAGTCAATATCTAGTTTGTTAAGAATGTATTGTGCTACTCGCTTAGTTCTTGCTAACATAGCTAGTGAAGGAACAACTTATGCTCAGAGAGGAGATGCTCTTAATGGAGTTAAGTTGTTAATGTCATTTGAATTCGTATTTAACATACATGTTGTGAAGGAGATTATGGCCATCACCGATGGACTTTGTCAAGCACTACAATTGAAGACCCAAGATATTGTAAATGCAATGCATTTAGTTTGCACTACAAAGACATTACTTCAAACTTTAAGGAATGATGGGTGGGAGAGTTTGCTACATAATGTTAAAGTTTTTTGTGAGAAAAATGGTGTTACAGTTCCCGACATGGACTCTCCTTATGTTGATGTGCTTAAATCTATAAGGCAACAATCAAGACAAAAAGACAATGTGACAATGGAACATCACTATAGAGTTGATATATTTATGGCTGCTATAGATCGTCAATTGCAAGAGCTAAACGCAAGATTTAGTGAGCGAGCTACTGAACTTCTCATTTTAAGTGCGGCCTTGAATCCAAGAGATGGTTACAAGTCATTCAATATAGAGCATATTTGCAAGCTAGCTCGAGATTTTTATCCTATTGATTT